AACCCAAGGCTTAATTTGTGCTCATTTTTTAATGTCATTAAAATCTTACACATTTAATGTCCTTTGAATGTTGCCCTGGGAATAAAAATACTAAACACTCATCAACATCAATGTTCTATTTAATTTATACACTATCAGCAAAATACAACATTAATAAAACTACATTCACATAATCCGTTCCAAGTACCTCACATCTATTTATGGAGCGATGTCGGTGACATGATCTTCACCTCTCCACAAAACTATTGATTTTCAGATCACGTTGCACTGAGATTCCAAAACCTAAGTCTTTGAGGACTATGGATTACCATCGGGTGAATGTGATACGTCACATGAAGAGGACATGCCCCCGAGTCGTTCAGACTGTAATGTAAAAAAAAAAAGGCTTTATGTATTATACATTTCCTCACCTGCAACCTTCACAAGGAATATTTCCTTTTTACTCTATTAAGGATGAAGGCAGTTAATTGAATATTATATCATACCTATTATATCCCTTAAATAAATAATTTTTTTACATTATATAATATTTATGCCTGAGCTTCAAATTCTCAGGTACAAACTTTTAGATTTTATGAATATTTTTAGACATTCTTTGTGTAATTTTACATGCTTTCTCTGATTTGACACATTACCTAAACATTTGTTGTGTTATTTTCCCGACGGTTAATACCACTGTTGTTGTTATGTCATTATTATTCTAATGAGAGATTCCGTCCTCTTATGTTGGATCACAGCCTGTGTTATTAACATGGACTTGCTGATGCATCCACTTCACTCTTCTCCATCCACTTCACTCTCCTCACTTTGTTTTCTACTCCAGGCACACAAAGTGATCAGCAGCCACTGCTAACTCATCTAAATGAGTGACTTGGCTTTGTTTGGCCAGTTGTGCCTGTCTGGCTGTGGCTCACTCCATTACAAGTCTAAATGACTAATTAATGGTCCCTGGACAGGTGACACCAGCTCCTCAAGATCCATTTACACCCTGATCCCCACAAGGCTTTGCCTGGACTCCACTGCACTTCTTCACTTCTCATCCACCTCCATCCGCTCCTCTCCTCCCTCATCTCTTATTCATCCAGTGGCAGAGTTCTGTTTAAGAAGCAGGTTTGCGAATAGACAGGTGGACAGATTGAGAGACAGATGGGCTGGACAAATGAAGGCGTAGACCGCTTCTTGAATATGAGGACGATTGCACTAGAAAGAGTGATAAATGCGCGGTGTGTCCTATCTTTACAGTAGTTCATCCAGAGGAAATGACAAATGAACCGCTTGTCTTTAAGTGACTGCTAGCACAGCACGCCCACACTTATCTCAAACTGTCACGGTTAGACTGACAGAGCGAAGCCCTGAGTGTACGTGAGTCCTTCAACTTTTCAACTCAGATGTTTGTGTCTTATAAGTTATGCTCACAATCTCACACACACAGAGAGAGAAATAAAACAAGCGTTTAGGTGAATTTACAGCCAATCATGAGCAGAACCTGCTTTAGAACAACACACAAATCGAAGTGAAGAGTGCAATGGCTGTCATGGCTGTGTGCTCCTCGCCCTATCACCTGAACACACCTGAACACATGAGTGATTAATTAGGACGTTAGTCCAAAAAGCAAAACCAAACTTTACACACTGGAAGGAGTTTTTAACATTTGGAGTCATCTAAGGGCAGAGCGTGATGAAAAGCTAGAGGATTGCTTTTTTGTAACCTTAGAATAACCCTGTCCTACAAACCTGGAGTACAGGCCTTACCCAACGAAAAACTCTCATCTTGCACAGCCACTTTTTTGTCAGATACCTCATTGGTCAAACCAATCAGACCACATCTCACGTATTAAAATAGAAAATAATTATAAGAATAACATCGGTTCATATGCAAAACTCAATATAACTTGAGTGAGAGATGATGGTTGATGTAGTCTAAAATGACCTGTAAGACATTTCCTAATAGATGCCCTTTGTCTCTCTACACACAGCACCATGAGAAACCTCTGTCCTACTGTAGGAAAGACATATTTGAAAGAGGGTCTGTCCCTCAAAAACGCATAAATAATTCAGATAATGTCTTATCTTTTACTAATCATGAACACCAAATTGGCAACTTTTGTCAATGTGATCCATCCGTTTTCTTTTTCCTACATATTTAATGAATAGATTAATTTGACCATGATTTCTTAATAACTTGGTCCTACGTTTTACATCAAACACAAAAAAAACTCTAAACTGAGTTTTCAAAGACTCCAAAATAAGGTGCAATGAAAACGCCATGTTCTTGTTTAGCATTTAAATAACTTTCAGGAATATAAACATTTTTCTTGACACTGCTTTGTTTAAAAGAAATGACCTGAAACGCCCTTGTGGCAGCACCACTAGAATTACAGTATGTATTTTTGTATTCAAACTAAATTCCAACATTGCATAATATCAAAGAGAGTGGTGTGAGTTTAATATCTCTGGTCTAAGCTTTCACTTCCTCTCCTCTGTGTGTCCTCCAAGTTTTAGGGACAGTCTCGGCTGTCTTTGTAGGGTGCACACCGCTTGTGTCCTTCGCACGAGTCACGTCGGTTCATAATGAGCAAGTGTTAATCCTGCACCAGCTGGACAGGTGAGTAAATAGAACCTAGACTGCCTTTACACTCATCATATGTTGACAAGTCTGCTCTACACGTAGGAAAAGGCTGGTATACATGAGGACGGTGTCTGCGGATGTACAAGAGGTGGGATGTGTGGGGACAAGCTGTGCAGCGTGCTACTGTAAGTGCTGCCAAACTAATAAAAAGAGCCACATGTTCAGTGAACAGCTGGCCCCATGTTCCTTAATCCACTGTGAGAACACGACAAAAACAAGGTTACCGAATGATAAACGGCCCTGGAACGGTGATCCATGAAAGCAGCTATGAGAGTTAAAGCTCTAAAGCTGTGAGAATTAGCTGTTGCCAGTTGAACAACAACTTCGCACACAAAACAAACACAAATGTAACCATTGCATTTGTAGCCCGTAGCACCTGCCAATGCTAATTTAGCATGTGAGCCAGAGCTGCCAGACATAACAAAAGACCAGGGCGTACAAAACTCTGCTGCCAAGGTTACTGGCAACTTATTTGGTCACACACTCACTGTAGTCAGGAGATAGGGATGGGCAGCCTAGAGAAAATCAATTACAGGGTTCAGTGTCAAGCCCAAGGAGGGCACCATAACAATATCCCCACAACAGCCTGTGGGTAGCTGCACACCCTAAATCAGGTTTCTGTGTAGTTTTCACAGAGCCAACCCCGGTGTAGGCGGCACAGGGATCCTGAATGGCAACAAGGACGACTGTGCAGATGTCCTTGTTTTAGGAGGAGAGAATTACTGTCCCATATGCCTTAGCAGGCAAAACAAGCTGACATTATTATGGCCATTTTCTCCTTATCGGGAACACCAGAAGTGAGGCGATTCTCCATCACTCTCTATCTCTGTCTATCCCATTGTCTCTATGTCACATTCTCTCTCCCCCCCCCCCCCCCCTCTCTCTCTCTCTCACACACACACACACACAGTGTCTATATTTATGTTCAACCTATCCATATCTGGCCACCTGTTCCTACATAAACATTAGACCTAAATGTTATAATATATTTAATTGTTATTATATTATATTTAGTTTGTTTATTATTTTCTCATAGTTTTAGTCACATACGTCATATATCATAAAAATGTAATTTGTGATATTATAAAAAACTGCTGCCAGGTTCCTGTATTTGGTCTGTATTTGAGTATTCAACCCTGGAAATAAATAAAGTACCAGATCTCAGGTGGTGTTTGTGACTATTAGCTAAAACAGCCACCATTAACACGTTTAAATAGTACGGCTGAGCAAACTGTAAGTCTAATTTAGCTTTGGATAACCAATATACATCCATAGGAACTAGATTTGGTCACATACATGTGTTAAAAATAATCTAACAACATAGACCTTAAATGAGAAGAGATGGAGCTAAAAAAAAAATTCTTTCCATCCATCTAACAGCTTCCGTTTGAGTGTTTTTATGCGCTATCCAAGGTCCTGAATTGTAATTGTCTGGGTCTATAGCTTCCTGTAGCGCTGTCCGTGGTGCTGAAACCTTTTTTCATTTTCACCGTCTACTGAACACTCTCTTCTTTCATTTCTAATTCCCCTATTTATTTACTTGGAAGAATATTTTTCTTTCTTTGATTATGCCAGTTGCCCTTTACAGTCTAGAAACGTTGGGTAGTTTACTAGACACATAACGTTGACCATTGACCACTGGAAGGATGTTGATCTCTACATGTGGCATTGTGATCAATTATTGACCAGTTCAGGCTTCAGCCCCTCCTTTTGCTCAGACTAACTGTTGATTTTTTGCTCTGTCAAGGAAAAAAAGTCCAACCTTACTGTTGTACCCCAAAAAAGCCACAAAAAAAAAAAAAAAAAGTGTGTCATGGCTTATCGATTGCTTCACCGACTGGACTGTAGCGATAGTTCCAAAGTCACTTTTTATTCCATACAAGTGGGATCAATTAGAAAGGTCTGACCAAGGTTCCATTAAACAGGCTCCACTGCCTGCATTTAATTACCTCGGCTGATTTACAGCAAATATAAGACGCAGTAAATTAAGGATGCGATAATGGAAACCTGATGAGAAGGAAACAACCGACTCGTGTGGAGTTAAATTATCCAGTGTTAGCCATGATGAATGTGGTTATTTGTGTGCAAACTTGGGGAAATTGCTTTTACAACCCCAAGATAATCAGTTTGCTGTGAACACTTTAAAGGGCCCATATATCCTACTTTAAAAATAACTTTAAAATGAATAAGTATAAATTAGAATGAATTGAAATTAGTGGATTTTTTTTCACCCACCCCCCACGCGCGCTCTCTCTCTCCCTCCCTCTACCCCCCCCCCCTCTTCCTCTCTCTCTCCCTCTCTGTGTGTATGTGACAGGCGTCAAAATTAACACCAAGGGAGAGCGAATCAGCAGATTTCCCTGCAGCTAAACAGAGCTTTTCACCGTCTTCCTCGTGCGTAAAAACCCAAAGGAGAACTCGTATTGTTTTCTAGAGAGAGAGACGCGGAACGCCGGGATGAGCACGGGTGGTGCGTTTTTGCGTATTGGTGGTTCAAAGTGACCGATGTCAGTTTGATTGGACTTTGAATACCCGAGAGGACTGGTGTGGGCAGAAGCCTCTACAGGACACACCGGCGAACACCCGTTTTGAGAGCACAATGCGGGCGAAGATGTGGATATTTGACTGTGCCAACACTTCGAAGCGTCTCTTCCCCACTTGGAGGCAGTTGTTTTGGTGTTACTACGCTGCTGTTGTTTGTTTGTTGTCCTCGCCTGTCAGGACGGACGATGCTTGTCCATTTTCCTGTATCTGTGACCGAGACTCGGGGACTGTGACCTGCCGTGAAGGGGAGGACACTGAGATACCTGAGGACATACCGGTGTGGACGTCCTCTTTGATCATAACAGGGAGAAATGTCTCAACTTTAGAGCGGGGTGCGTTCACAGCCAACGGCACGGAGTTGGAAATGACCATGCTGTCCCTCTCCTATAACGGCATCCAGGTCATCGAACCGTACGCGTTCCTGGGACTGCCCCGGTTGCATTTGCTGGATCTGAGCCACAATCGGTTGATGTCGGTCTCAGACCGAGCTTTCCACGGAGTACCTGAGCTGCGGTCACTCTACCTGAACAACAGTATTTTGACACCGGCCGTAGCGGACCTCTCTGGTGCGCTCGGCACACAAAGTTTGCGCAGCCTCCACAGGCTGGAGTTAGCGGGGAACCGACTGAGCTCCCTGCCCCTGGCGAGGTTGGACATATACAACCTCCACGTTCTAGTGCTGGTTAACAACTCCATAGAGAGCATCGGTCGGGAAAACGTCACCAACATTTACCAGCAGAAGCGCCTGCGGGTTTACTTGTCTCTGAACCCGTTCCGGTGCAGCTGTGGGCTGGAGTCGTTTTACTACTGGCTGAAGAACTCGTCCCAGTGCCCAGATGCAGGACATCTGCTGTGCAGCGAACCGGAGGCCAAGAAGGGGACTCCCGTGGAGCAGCTCCAGGGAGAGGACCTGGACTGTTTGAACGAGAACCTCGAGGCGGTTTCCTACGTGTTCCTGGGCATCGTGCTGGCTCTGATCGGGGTGGTGTTCCTGATGGTGCTCTACCTCAACCGGGGGGGCATTAAACGGTGGCTGAACAATATCAGAGAGGCGTGCCGAGACCAGATGGAAGTGTACCATTACCGGTACGAGCAGGACTCTGACCCGAGACTGGCCAACGTGGCCGTTTAACCCTTCACCGGGGAAACAAAACATTATATTACGCAGCTGGTCGATAAACTGTCATCTCCCCTCAGTCTGGGACATGCACAGAGCCAAAGACAGTTGACCGTCAAGTGTTTATCTTTTACAGCTGGAGACGTCACATTGACTGTAACATTGGACACTTTAATGGTTTTCAATTTACACTGATTCATTTCAATTATACTGTGATGTCATCATATCGTGCTCGTTTTATACAATGAGTTAATACCAAATGTCCTGAATTCTTTTTTCTCAAGGCCACACAGTTGCAGACCGGTTAATGCTCCTGCCTTACAGCTAAAACGTCAATGGTTCAATATCTGACAACTGATTTTCTCTGTATGGAGTTTGTATGTTCTCCTAGTGTGTGTGTGTGTGTGTGTGTGTGTTCTCCAGGTCCTGCTGTTTCAGCCAACAGTCCAAAAACATTCAGGATTACGTTAATTAGACATTCCTACATTGTTCGCAGGATTGAACATGAACAGTTGTTTATATGTGGCCCTTTAATGAACTGGGCATCAGCACAGGAAACACCACCCCACCCCCACCCTCACCTGCAGCTCAATGCTGGGATTGGCTGCAACTCTCCGTTTGCCCCATGAAAAATGTTTGCAGTAGAAGGTGGAGGAATAATTTCTCATAAATTCCAGGATTTTTACAGTTATCCCGAACATTATCTGACATCAACTTTATTATTTATCAGATGTAAATACGTTTTTCCTCAAACCAGACCACGTTCATGTTAACTTGCTCGAACTACATCAGCTTTTCAGACCGACTAGTATTACTCATTTATTAAGAGAGAAATCCCCAGTATCTAGTAACATGGTATACAGATATACAGTATAAAAGGTATGGTGTGAAGAGCTGGGCTACACCAGTACCTTACCTGTGAAACGCAGCCATAACAAACATCGAAGTATCGTTAAAGGGAACATGTGAGTGTTTTTCAAAACTGAAATTTAAGACAGTGAAAGAGATGGAAAGAAAATCTGGGATATTAAAAAAAGCTGGGACTTTCATCAGATCTGTGTTCTTAGTGTAGATGAGCAGTACTGGAATCACCTTGTCCTAGTTCCGATTTTTGTGTGTATCCTTGACTAGAAAGGTGTGTACCGCTGGACTGTTCTTTTATAAACGGGCAAAAGATGACTGTGGTTGTTGTCAACATATAGTAAGATAGTCAACTAGAAACAACAGTAGAATATCAAATGCAGGATGTACTGTAATTTGGCAGGTATATACTTTACATTTCATCCTCTATCAGGAAATCTAGACTTGAAGCAGTGCTATGCCGGAGATGTACAGTTTCCTGTTGTATTTTTAAAAAAGTTAACATGTCCGTTTGAGAAAATGCCACCGCGTATGAGAGAACGTGAGGGATCATTTGAAACCAACATTGTAAATTAAATGAGGCCTTTAATGACTTTCATAAACCTCGGTGACTAATGGCCTACAGATTATTAACGGTGATACAGTTCAAATTAGGTTTTGATCCTATGTCAAACAAAAAAAAAAGTAAAAATGTGGGAAAAGATGTGTGTCTGCATGGGATTTCTTCAGAAGTAATCCATTTACTCTTGTTATGACTTTTAGTACATAAACCAATAAAGGTTTGACTGAACTCCTGAATTCCCCTGTGTTTAATGGTGACTGACAAACTTTCTCTGTCTTTTAAGAAATAATCCTGAAGTCAAAAGGTAGAATTAGACATCCAGACATTATACGAAAAAAAAAAAATCACTATACATGCTGTACACCGCATAGATCTGTTCTAAACCCATGGATGTAGCGACACATGAAGCCCATAAAGTACACCAAAAGTTGACTGCTGATTTGACTATGGATTAAAGTACGATGAAACATCTATGTGAAAAGACTGGTCCAAAAATAATTCTACTGCCTCAATGTTTTCTCCATGTTTTTCCTTTCTCTCTGGTTTTGGTTATTAAAACATGTATGGATATATATTTGTATAGGTGTATTGTGCATCCTCTTTAAACATATGTACTACCTACTACAATGCTTCATCATATATTTTAATCAAAATAAATCCAGCTGTGGACACTTTTTTCTAACAGTTACAATATCACTTTTTTTAGCACTTAACATCATAACGTTTGCAACACACACTGTATTTGCATCAATTTCTTATATAAAGCTCTGTGGTTGGGTGCCAAGATTATAGAAATAGACATATAGCTTGACTATTCTTCACACCACTAGAATGTTATGTAAAGATCTGTTACTATTTTTCTATTTCTGGTACAAGAATATATAAATAAATATTCATTGGGATTCATACGTTTATATACGCTGGCCAACAGTTTATGACCAGCTACATCAGTGACACACTCACTTGGGGTCAAACATCATCGAATCTGATAGGAGAGGCTAACCAAAGTCATCACATCCATATAACTATAAACAGTGCATGCTGTACACAGATCCTGGGTTATGCATTGCTACTCACTAATAATCTCCTAATGTTTACATTAGGGCCTTCATTTTTTACATTATTAAAAATGTTGGTTTATTTTAAGCAATAAAAATGAAGAATATTCACTTGAGGTAAAATAGAAGTTGCACGTGATCCCTGACAAAAACCCAGCCTCCCTGTGAGTAACAGTGACATTCATTTAATCTTGCATAATTTTTCATGACCGTGACTTCATTTAAATCAGGTCAATTTAAACATAAGAGCAGAAATATTGCAATACAATTGTCCTGTTCAGCACTTGGGCTTTTCTATACCTCCAGTCACTTTTTTTCCCCTAAGACTTCCTTATGCTCTCCAACTACTTGTCAAA